TGAAAAAAAGGTGAATAGTTCAGCATATTTTCAACAAACAATTTTTCAACCGTTCCCAATTTTTTTTGCTAGCTCTTATCTAGGCAAAAGGTAACATCGATATTAGAGTCAGAAATCTTATCATCCAAGTGTCTATTGAATATCTGTCATCCATTCCATATACTATTTTACTCTGCACAATTGGGAGACTAATAGAAAATATGCAAATAGATTTTATATAAACATAAATGTGATACACATGACTATGCAACAGATGCAGCTTTAAGAGTAATTGTTTAAGGCCAGTCACTGTGGCTCAAGCTTGTAATCCCAGCATTTTGAGAGGCCAAGGTGGGAGGATTGCTTGAGCCTGGGAGTTCAAGACCGGCCTGGGTAATTTGGCAAGACCCCATCTCTAAAAAAACAAACAAAAAGAGTAATTACTTGTTTAAGGTCTCATTTAACTCTCAAATCCATCTTACTAACGGAAGATGATAATTACTGAGTATCTACTTATGCAGACACCATATAAGTGAATTTACCTATAGTATCCTAACTTTCAAAACACTTCTTCCATCATTATTTTCAAAATAGTGAAGAACTATTATTCCAATTTTACAAATAAGAAAACGAAGCCAGCATTCTTTTTCATTGTACCAGGTTAATTATTAATAAAAATAATAATGCCATCAGCTTACATTGGCGTAGTTACAGATTATAACACTTTGATTTAAATCATCTAAATTGACCCTCATAAAAAAATCGTGATATCAAGAGCATAAGAGCTTACAACTACCAGGACGGGGAGTCACAGAGACCTGAGGCAACTTAAAAAAAAATTATTTAGTTGGGAGAATCTTACGTTACTTACATTCAGCACTCTGCAAACCAGAAAGGGCAGACAAAACCAAATTCTGTCCCAGTTGAGAAAAGCTTCCACAGAGGCCTTACAAGCCTAACTTCTCCAACCTTCTCCCATTTCCAGAACACTTGCATCAACATGGGAGCCCATAAAACTAAAAGCACTAGGAGGAGAGGATTCTGATGCTCTCTAGTTAAGGAGCCTGGTCTCCTGCAGTATTACAAATAGGTCACACCCAGGCTGAGCAGTACTTCCTAATAGCAAAAATGCTAGACTACCTAGGATTTCATGTACCATTGAGATAAACTTTTCTTTTTCCCCCAACCTCATCCTTTTTTGTAAGGTGTTGCAAATGCTCTAAGCATATTTGCCTCCAGCGCTTAATGGAAGTAGTGTCAAGTCTAATAAACTGTAAGGGAAAGGAGCTGGCCATTCACAAGACAAACCACTAAGTATATTAATTTGGGGCAGTTTTGGTTTTTATTTTTAACGTGGCCAAAGCAATGGCAGCTAATATGGATTGAGCAAGACTCATCGTTTTCTTTCCTTGCATTTTTACTTCCAATTATAAGTTAATGCTAGAAGAAATTTTATGATAATATACTTTTTATTGTCCCTATTTTATAGATGAGAAATTGAGGCTTAGTGACATTAAGCACTCAAGTTTACACAGCTAGTAAGAGACTAAGGATACAAATCCCCTAAATTCAAGTTCACGGCTCTTTACCTTCCACCATTTGATGTCCTTGGGAAATAAATAAGTCTATACTCCTGTGGGTTGCCTTTATGCAATATCCGAGTTCTTTTCTTTTCTTTTCTTTTTTAAAGAGATAGTTTCGCTCTGTTGCCCAGGCTGGAGTGCAATGGCACAATCTTGGCTCACTGCAACCTCCACTTCCTGGGTTCAAGCGATTCTCCTGCCTCAGCCTCCCAAGTACCTGGGATTACAGGCATGTGCCACCACATCCAGCTATTTTTTTTTTTTTGTATTTTTAGTAGAGTGGGGGTTTCACCCTGTTGAAACCCCTCACAGGCTGGTCTAGAACTCCTGACCTCAGGGGATCTGCCCACCTCAGCCTCCCAAAGTGCTAGGATTGCAGGTGTGAGCCACCGCACCCAGCCCCTGAGTTATTTTTTTATAAGAAAATTATACTCTTATAAACAATAAGGACATTATCTATTGGAAATGGGCTTCTAAGTGCAGTGAACTTTCCAGAAGGCTGAGGATTATAAAGTCTCCAAAATGGCAAGCTTGCCACTGAAAATACAGTCCCCACCTAGGAGGTTTCTGGACACCAGAACTGGTCTCATTGTTAGGACATCTGCTATCTACCCCAAGTTTACTGGAATTTCTCCCATTTGAGAGGGGGTGTCTCTTCATTCATTAACTTAAAATTCGTCTTCCCTTTTGACTGGATATTTAAAGTGTTAAAATAAGGCTGGGCTGTGATTTCATGTTCTAGCAGTGGATGTCACCACTAACACAAAATTGTTTTGTTTTTATCCTGCCTGAAATAATATTAGGTTTATGCTTTGCTTCATTAGAAAGCAAGCTCTGGCCAGGTGTGTGGGCTGAGGCCTGTAATCCTAACACTTTGGGAGGTCAAGGCGGGAGGATCACCTGAGCGCAGGAGTTTGAGACCAGCCTGGGTAACATGGCAAATCCCCATCTCTACCAAAACCACAAAAATGAGCCAGGTGTGGTGGCTTGTACCTGTAGAACAGCCACTTGGAGGGGCTGAAGTGGGAGGATTGCTTGAGTCCAGGAGGCGGAGGCTGCAGTGAACCCAGATCACTTCACTGCTCTCCAGCCTGGGTGACAGGGAGACTCTGTCTCAAAATAATAATATGCCAGGCACAGTGGCTTGCACCTGTAATTCCAGCACTTTGGGAGGCTGAGGCAGGCGGATCATGAGGTCAGGAGATAGAGACCATCCTGGCCAAGACATGGGGAAACTCCATCTCTACTAAAAATACAAGAATTAGTCAGGTGTGGTAGTGCACGCCTATAGTCCCAGCTACTCGGGAGGCTGAGGCAGGAGAATTGCTTGAACCCTAGAGGCGGAGGTTGCAGTGAGTGAAGATCGCGCCACTGCATTCCAGCCTGGTGACAGAGCAAGACTCCATCTCAAAAAATAATAATAATAAGGTCCTTATTTTGACAAATCTGCAAACTTAATTGGAATTTCTATTATTTAGTAACTATTAAGCGAATATACGTAATCTACAGACTCATTGCCAATAAAAACACATATCATAACAGGTGTTAAAAAGTAACTGGAGACTCGGCCATGCCCTAAGCAAGCCTCTAGGCAATTTATCATATTTTGCTGTTAACCTAGTCATTTGAATGAGTTGTTTTTGTCTGTAATTCTTAACTCATAATTACCTTAGCTGATTAAGAAACCTCCTCAGAATCCAAACACCCCCACTACACACCAAAAAAAAAATCAAAATCAAAAAAAAAAAAAAACTGCCCAAAGTAACGTGCATAGTGGTTTGTCCTAGAAGAAATGAGGTGGCATAAGAATGAAAACTTATCACATCTAAGAAATATAAATTCAACAAAGATAGGTCTGCAGACCTCCTGTAGAGAAACCATCGTCATGGCCCAAAACTTTCTAAGGGAATTTTCTCTAGGAATCAATTAGAATTCTTTAAAAAAAAAAAAATTGGCTGGCCATCACAATTGCACGTGGATCCCAGGGCTCAGCCCAGATTCTGGACACAGTGGCCAAGATTTAAAATCATTCACCAAAGAGCAAATGTTTTGACTTTCAAAGAGCAGAACTACAGAATAGCCAAGAGGAAATTAAATTCCCTAAGTTAAATACTATGTACTGCCAGTGGTGTGGAACTACTCTCCATCTCACCCAACCTTCTCGCTAGAGATATAGTGTCCCTTTGAGACAGAAATGAATTGTTTTAGTATCAGGAAGCGGTGGCTCACGCCTGTAATCCTAACATTTTGGGAGGCCAAGGTGGGGGAGGGGGGGTGGATTGCCTGAGGTCAGGAGTTCAAGACTAGCCTGGCCAATATGGTGAAACCCTGTTTCTACTAAAAATACAAAAAAAGTTAGCTGGCCATGGTGGTGCACGCCTGTAATCCCAGCTACTTGGGAGGCTGAGGCATGAGAATTGCTTGAACCCAGGAGTTAGAGGTTGCACTGAGCTGAGATCGCGCCACTGTTCTCCAGCCTAGGCAACAGTGCGAAGCTTCCACTGTCACCCTTAACCCAATGTATTGGATACAACAGGGTCTCAACATAAGTATCCTTTGATTTGTACACTTCTCTCTGCCTTTGGCGGCCCCAGCAGTTAAAGAACATTGAGTGTATTATCTACGCATTAGAATGCTGAAATTGAAATTAAGCCTCTGGGTTCCTAGACTGAGACTGAGGCATCAGCCCTGTAAATCAGTGCTCCTTTAGGAAAAAACGTTTCTCTCTGGACGTTCCCCAAGCAACCCCAAAACAATGGATTCAAGGAAACAGTCACAGATCCTGGGGTGGGGGCATGTTTGCTACGTGGACATCTGAGGATGACCGACGCCTGGAAGGAGAGCCCAGGGCTTAGTAACCCCTCTTCTGGGCAAACCCCAGGCGTGTGAGTCACTGGCGAGAACGGCGGGAGGAAGGGGCGGCCTGAGTCCACAGCCCTGAGGGAGGTCGGAGGGTCTGACAGCGCGAGGAGTCTGTGGGTGGAAGGGAGGTAGAAGTGGGCCTAAAGAGGCCGCCTTCCCGGGGGTGAAGGGCTGGGTCCCAGGGGTAAAGGGAGCGAGGGGGTGGGGCCTGCTCCAGCGGCCGTGGGGAGGGGCCGGGGGTCGGCAAGGAGGCCGGCCAGCCAGCAGCACCGAAATCTCCCGCGCTCAGGAGCTGGCCCCTCCTCCCCGGCCAGGCCCCAGGCCCCTCGCCGCGACCCGGCCTGCCGGCGGGCTCCTCCCGCTGTCCCCGCGATGCAGCCCCGGCCCCAGCCCAGGTCTCGACCCCGACTCGAGTCCTGGCCCAGCTGCGATGCCGCCGGCCGGCCCCACCCGCGCACAGCCCGGAGGCCCACGGCGCGCGGACAGTGACGGCACCGCAGGGTGCGTGGCCAATCGGCGCGGCCCCCGAGGAGGCGGCCTCGGCACCGCCCCCCCCGCCTAAGGACCAATGAGGCGGTGGCGCCCGCGGCCCCGGCGGGGTGAGAGGCCGCGAGGCCCCGCCCCGTCCTCCCCTTTCCCCTTTGCCCCGCCCTTCCCGCCCGGCCCCCCCTCGCGCCCCGCGCCGCCGCTGGAGCCGGTCCCCGCGCTGGGCCCGCCCCCGCTCCTCCCGCGGCCCGCCAGCGCGCCTCACGGCTTCTGTCTCCCCTCCCTCCTTCTCTCTCACGCCTAGCGCAATGGCGGCGGCCGCGGCGGAGCAGCAACAGTTCTACCTGCTCCTGGGAAACCTGCTCAGCCCCGACAATGTGGTCCGGAAACAGGCAGAGGTAACCGAGTTCGCCGCCCCCATCTCAGCGCCCTGGCCGGGGCGCCGACCTTTCCCGACGCTGGCCCCGCCGGGCCTCAGCTGGTCCGCCGCTGCCGCGCAGGCTGGGCCCGGCGGGCGGCGGCCGCGCAGCCCACGTGTGAGGCGGCCCGCTGCGCCCGGTCGTGCCCCCGGGCTTTTCCGGCTATTGCTGCCGCGGCACCCGGCGCCAGTTACCTCCCGCCGCCGCTCGCACCCACGTGCGGCCGCTCCCGACTCGCTGCCCCCGCCCAGCTGTGGGGTGCCGGGCGGGCCCTGGGCCCCAACTTCGCTGGCCACCCTCCCTTCCGAGCTGCCCGCTCGCCCCTTTCCCGCTTTCTCCCAGCGGGAGCCCCCACCGCCCTTCCAGCAGCCGTCCCCACCCAGCCTGGCGCTGTGGATCTCCCAAACCCTGGCTGCTACCTGACCCGTCACCCCTGTTTCTGCCTCCTGCTCATCTCCACACCGTCTGTCCCTCTCTTTGAATTGTGTGCCCTGCCTTGTCGCTCCTGCCTTTTCGCTTGTTTCCGTTTAGTTTTCTTTACCATTCTAGTTCCTGACATCAGAAGCCAAATTTCCCTACCCCCTTCCACCCCCGTTTTGTGAAGTTGCCTTTAGGGTTTCTTCCTATGCAGTTTCCACCTTACTCTGGGCTTACAATACACTTAGTCTGCTCTTCCTTCAGATAAATTTTCTTTGCTCTCTAGAGAATCGTGGGATAAATGGGATGTAGTGGGACTTCCGTTGTTTAACTGGTCCGGTACCATATGTTTAAGTCTTCAACTTCATGAAATCTAACCTGAATCTCTCTTTTTCAAGCCACCTCTGGTTCCTGGCCTCCAAAATGTGGAGATAGTTTCAAGTGACAGTATTTTAAATATATCCGTAAGCTCATTTACCAAGTTCACTAGAACACTGATGGTACATTGTCAGCGTTGAGACCACGATTCTTGTGAGATACTTAAGGGGAGGGAGAAACTTTTAAATGTATTATCATAGCTGACTGCCAAACTTGATTATATATGGAGTTTTTGCAACCATGCGATTGAAGAGTTTTATAAGGTTAAGTGAAGGATGTTTAGCCAGATATTTTTACAGAGCAAAATTAATTTTACATATAGCTAATGAAATTGATGACAGGTCCTCTTCTGAGGGCTGAAGACTTTTACAGGTGTCTTTAAAACCACAGTGTTAATACTTGTTTTAAATAGATGGTGGATATGCTGGTTACACTTAGAGGTTTTATATTAAGTAAACACTCCGAAAATTCTGTTATACCTGAAAAGGCATTTTCAAATATTCACTTTATTAACTTTTTATGTATTATACGTGTAATACATGTTCAGGGTAAAAATTCAAACAGTAAATAGGATAGTTTTTTATCCCATTTCCCAAAGGTGACGACACTTAAGTGTCTCATAAATCTTCTCCGAAAATATATCTTAACATACGCATTCATTTTTTACTTGAATGGGCTTATAATACACATTATTTTCCAACTTGGATTTTTCACTCAGTATATTTCACATTGGTTCATAAGTGAGTTTTTTTGGCAAACTATAGTTTATACATCGTATGGATAGATATTTATATAAGCAACCCTCTATGAAATGGATATTGAGGTTTCCAGTGACCTGCTCTTTTAAAAATAGTACTATGCACAGGAGTACATGTATACCTATCTTTGCACTTTGCCAAGTTTGCTTGTAGAATACTGAAAAGTAGCATTTGTTCCTAGAAGTAATATGCATGTATTGCACCAGTTTGCCTTGGGGTTATCATGATGCTAAAAAAAGAAATTAATGCTTTCTGCTAACTCTTGAGATAATTTTTCGCCAAAATAAGTTTTTAATCCCAACCCATAATAGAAATTTCCATGTGCTACAAAGCAGAACAGCATCGTAATTAGTAAGCTAGTTTAATTCTCCCTCTTCCCTCCAATTGCTTAAGTCTATTGTCAAGCCTAGTGGGGAAGCTCTCTTCTATTGAACTAAATACCAGTGTCTGGTTTAGCTTGAATTCCAATTGGTGCCGGTTGTAAATCTTTTATCACTTACATCACTTTGGGGATAGTTATCAGCATTCAGCACATTTTCTCATAAAGAGCAATTGGAAATTACTATTGTTATTCTCTTAGTCTCTTTATTCCTAGTGAAAACATTCATATACTAGGTTTTGACTTTCTTTGTATATCCTGAGAATATATTAATATGTAAAGCAAGTACTGTGATACAGAATTTTCCAGTTTGACCCTCAAAAAAGTAAATTTGAAGGGAAGCTCCCTGGCGCTATATAATGCCCCTTTCTTTTTTGCGTAATGAAACAAGCCTTTTATAAGAAATCAAATGAAATAAAATTAGCCTTAAGTGTGATATAGCAAATATAGAAATATTTTCTGTGAACTAAAGAATTGGCCAGGGCTCAGTAAATGCCTTTGCAATTTACTCATTCAAAATAAAAATACTTAGTCGACACATAAATACCAAACTGTTGACTAAGGTTGACTTCTTTTGTATTCAAATATGGTTTTATGTTTGGTTGAAATCATTGAAGGGACTTCAAAACTCTAAAAAGTTAAAACTTTTTCTGTTGTGTGCACCATTAGACAGGCTTTATATTTTATTTCTATTCTGATAATGTGAATAAACTATTGAATAAATCATTGACAAGTAGTGCAAAGTAGAGTTTTTATGGTATTTATGACTAGACATTTTTATATGACATAAGCTTAAGTATTTATTAATCATTACTAAGGTTCTCCATACAGACTTTGTTCCTCATTGATTCTAATAGCAAATTTCATTTAGTGGTTTTTTTTTTAGAGACGGGGTCTTGCTGTGTTGCCCAGGCTGGTCTTGAACTCCTGGCATCAAGTGATCCTCCCATGTCCCAAAGTGTTGGAATTACAGGCATGAGCCACTACACCTAGTCCATTGTTGAGAGTTGAATGGACGGAGGATAACATTGAAAAATATACCTGATTGTTGAGGAGCCAGGGTCTTAATAGATAAAAGTCATGTGTCCCCTCTTTTCCTTTTCCTCATACAGGGTAGGCTCACTATAAATATTTATGGAATGAGATGAGTACATATGAACATTTCTTCCCCATCTTCGTGGGCAGGGAAGAGGCGGAGGAGAAGTCTTTGCATTGTGTGAATTCTATAAGGTGGAACCAAATAGAATTGAAATTTTGTTTGCCTCAACACTGGTAACATTCACTGAACCTAACTGGACTAGAGCTAGGAATAGTATTAGAAACAGTCTTTATAATTGCTATACTCTAATGTACTAGGTACTCATATGCAAAGATAAAGAGGTACCATCCCTGTCTGTTTGGAAATTAGACTGTGTAACCATTACCCTTGACCATTGTGGTGGTATTGATATAATACTATATTTGGATTATGATAATGGAACATATCAGATGGAGGAGAACCCTCTCAGCAGAAATCATCTGTCACTCGTACTAAGCTCTCGCACCATTGGCTTCTAATTCATTATGGAGTAGAGTTTAATATTTGACCCAATGTTAAGTCTACTAGAGTTAGCATAGTCACACCATCAGTTCCCCCTGGGCAGGAGTAGAGAGCATCAGGTTTTATATTAAGTTTTCTGAGAGTGCTAGCCTCGTAAAGGCGTTTTTGCAAAAACTTGATTTAGACCACTGGAAATTTAAGTGTTAAACACTGATCACATCATCAGTGTATAGTTGGCCAAGCTGGGTGCTTTTTATTGTATAGTGAGATACTTTTTAAATGGAAACATACTACTGGTATAAGCAGTTGCTTTGGTAAATAATAAGTGAAAAGTCTCAAAGGTACATAACCATTTTTGCAGTCAGCTTTTGAATATCTTTGAATAAATTATCTCTTCTGGATAAATAAATTCAGACCATCTTCTCTCCTCAGCTGTGAATACTTTTTGGCAGTTTTCAGCATTGTTATCATGCTATGTGCTTTTTACTAGAATGGAAACTTGAGGTTATCAGAGGATCTTGAATTCTCCTTTCCCCTAAAATCTTTTCTCCCCAGACAGATGATATTTGAAAAGTTTGAAAACTGTAGCACTGCATAAGTAAAACTGGTTGTTTAATGAAGTGAAATTGAGAGCTTTCAGTACCAGAGAGATTTTGAGTATGATTGGCTTTACAGGACCAAGAATTCTGTCTGCCATTCATTGTCTGTGATCTTGGGCATGTCATTAACTTGTAAGCCTTTGTTTCCTTATCTGTTAATATCTCACGGATGCCATGTGGCCTTTAGTAAAAGGTTTAAGGAAGATGTGGATTCAAAATAGCCTTGTTTTTCCTCCCTTGTCACTTTGTTCCAGAGAAGCCAGGTAGCTATAGAGGTATGGTAATGTTGAGGGCAGGTAAGCACTAAAGAAACCCTAAATTGCTAGATAATGATGGATTATCATTTACTTACTAAGAAGCTTCTTAGAGGAAACAATTTCAAGTGTACTTGATTTCTTTTCCATAGTGAACAAATACCATTGGAATTCTTGGACATGAATCTGCCCTTTTCTGGACAGCATATAGTTGGTTCTTAGTTTTTAATCTGTTCTGATCATCTATCTGTTAATTAGTGTCAGCTTTTTATTATTAACCAATTTGTTGTGATTTTACATTATTAACAGAATAGAGTGTCCTGAGTCACAAACCTCTTGCTAATAATCTGCAAAAGACATTAAAGCCTCCTGACCAAATTTATCCTGACCACATTCATTTATGTATGTAATGTGGTTTTAGTATGATCTTTACTTGGAAGAAATGTGACATAAAGAATTTGAATACTTTGTTTCTCTAACTTACTTCCAGGTGTGTGTCTGGTGGTTCTAAGTAGTGGTAATTTGAACCAGTTGTACATCATTCAGTCTAAAAACTGTTAACAGTTTCTCATAATGTAAGGTGATTTTAAATAAGCACTAAAATTTGCAGCACAATGGCATAAGTCACATTTGGCAATTTTTTGACTCTCTTAGGCCTTGAGTTTTGTTAATCAGGGAGCAAAAATTGGGAAAACATGCACACACATTAGAAACATTTGTTTAAGAGAAAGGAACTTGGTAAGTAACCTGGTAGACATCTTCTATTCCCTAACGTATCTGAAGTATATTTGATGTCACAGAAGGTGTTAACACTAGACCTAGGTTAAATAATTTCTCATGCATCCTTCCCACTCTATTTCTTTCACTGGTTTACCCATGAAGTTTTCTAACATTCTTTCCTATTTTTTTAATGTAGGAAACCTATGAGAATATCCCAGGCCAGTCAAAGATCACATTCCTCTTACAAGCCATCAGAAATACGACAGCTGCTGAAGAGGTACTATCTTAATATTTGTGCCTATTACATTCTTAGAAAACAAGTTTTTAGATAATGATCATAGTAGAAATGAGAATTGTGATTTTCCACATAGACTTTACTAGAACTTTGAACTTATTGTTTGCTAAAAGCTGCCTGGGAGTTGTCATGTAATTTTTTAAGTACTTTGTATTAAGAATGAGAATTGCCTTTTTTTTGTATAAGATAATATGTCCAGGGTAGATGAAGGTTAATGGTTTTATTAAATTTAAATGATTTGAATTTTTCTTTTTTTTTTTTTTTTTTTTTTTTTTTTGAGACAGACTTGCTCTGTTGCCCAGGCTGGAGTGCAGTGGTGCGATCTCGGCTCACTGCAACCTGTGCTTCCTGAATTCAAGCAATTCCCCTTCCTCACCCTCCCGAGTAGCTGGAATTACAGGCACCAACCACCATGCCCGGCTAATTTTTGTATTTTTAGTAGAGATGGGGTTTCACCATATTGGCCAGGTTGGTCTTGAACTCCTGACCTCTTGATCTGCACCCCTGCCCCCACCCTCCTCCACCTTGGCCTCCCAAAGTGTTGGAATTACAGGCATGAGCCACCGTACCCAGCCTGCTTTAATTTTAGGAATTCTTTTGCCCCATGGTAAAACAAGGCTATTTTCTATGATTTTATAGTTTTCTGCTACTGATGGAGGCATTTCATAGCTAATTTCCCCCCCATAGGTTAATATCCTCATAAATATTGAATGCCACTGAATATCTCTTTACTTCGGAAAAGGTGTAAAAATACCCAAGTCTAGAAAACTCTTTTAACTACAAAATATTAAATTTAGAGTCGTAGTGTAAGCCTTTTTTTGCTAACAGTCAAACTATAAGTAAAGTGCTTATCTTTCATGGAAGTAAAGTCACACCAAACTTCTACATCATGTTTCACCTGGCCTCTTCCAGTCTGTTTTCTCTAAGCAGATGAATAGTCAAGCAGTTTAGATAGCAACTTCATGTTCTCTCATAGCACTTTAAAAGCCATATAAAAGTATCCCAGTTTTTTTTTTTTTTTTTTTTTTAGATGACAAGAGGTACTTTGCTTTTGTAACATGTTCTTTTCTGTAACTCAAAATGGGTGTCAGATGTGAAGAAGAACCGTATATGGGGTAACTTCTATCACTAAAAACAGATGACTATTGTAATTCTTGAAGATTAGTACCAGTTAGCTAGTAAACAAATATTAAAGCCAAGAATAATAGTGAAAATTACTGAATTTTCTTTTTTAAAACTTGGATTAAACCTTATTTAAATCTTAACTTGATTTAAGAATTAGTGATTGTGAATTAGTGACAGCATCTTGGTTGTGGCTTTATAGTTTTCGGTATATGTGTGAGAAGAATTGCACATGAGTTTTAACCACTTTTATAAGAATTGTAACCGCTTTCTAGAACATATGTTAAATATTTGTAAAGGTTTCTACCTCCTATAAAGGTTTCAGTAAAGAGATTTCTCAGTGAAAAGTAATGGAGAAAAAAATAGCCAATTTTATTTCTATAGCTTAACATTTTTTGTTCGTCAGATTCCCAAAGTAATTATAGTAATAATGAGTAACATCATCCTGGAGAAAGCAAGAGCAGGAAAGATTAGGTTCAGTGGTCTCAATAGTGTATTGGTTTGATTTGATAAAATTTTAGAATGGCATTTGTCTTAGCTTTTCTTTTGATAATCTCAAGTAATGTTTTTGTTGTTGTTGTTCTTTGAGATGGAGTTTTGCTCTTGTTGCCCAGGCTGGAGTGCAGTGGTGCAATCTCAGCCCACCACAACCTCTGCCTCCTGGATTAAAGATTCTCCTGCCTCAGCCTTCCAAGTAGCTGGGATTACAGGCATGCACTACCACGCCCGGCTAATTTTGTGTTTTTAGTAGACAACGGGGTTTCTCCATGTTGGTCAGACCGGTCTCAAACTCCTGACCTCAGGTGATCCGCCTACCTCAGCCACCCAAAGTGCTGGGATTAGAGGCACTAGCCACCGAACCCAGCCTGATAATCTCAAGACGTGTTTTATAGAAAATACCAAATGTAATTACACGGATTTGAAAATGAGTATCTAAGAAGACACGTGTTGAAATGGATTAGCACGTTTTAGATATTGGGAAATTGTAATGTTTGTTTGCTTGAAAGAAGCATTTTATCTAAGACGCTAATGAGAGGGCAGTTATATAACAAGTTAGGCCAGGCTGGGAGCCTAACGTTGGGTGCGAAAGGCACTTGATATTCTAGAATGAGACCAGACAAGAGAGGTAGGAAAGGCATTCATTATGGGGTTTACAATTTAAGATTTGTTTTTCTCCCAAATCATGTGTTAAAAATAGGAATTAAAGACAGGTTTATTATTGCTGAGATATGTGTTCCTAACTGAATTGTAATGCATTTAAGAGTTTTCCTCATATTAAGTAAAAATGGCTTATTTTGTAGCACTTTCTATATAATAGACTAATGTAATTAGAAAGAGTTACATATGTTACTTCTTTAGAAAACTGACAAGGTACCTTTGAAATACAAAAATACTACAATGAAATACATCAATGGCAGAATGAATCTAGGTATTAACAATGTTATCTATTTATAGGCTAGACAAATGGCCGCGGTTCTCCTAAGACGTCTCTTGTCCTCTGCATTTGATGAAGTTTATCCAACACTTCCCTCTGATGTTCAGACTGCCATCAAGAGTGAGCTACTCATGATTATTCAGATGGAAACACAATCTAGCATGAGGAAAAAAATTTGTGATATTGCTGCAGAACTGGCCAGGAATTTAATAGGTGTGTATGCAGGTGCACTTGTGTTACCAAAAGCATGGGTATATTCTTCCTTTGTTTTTTTTTTTGTGATGCGGTTTCACCTTGTTGGCCAGTCTGGTCTCGAACTCCTGACCTCAGGTCATCCGCCCGCCTCAGCCTCTCAAAGTGCTGGGATTACATCATGCCCAGCCCCCCTTTTTTTTAATGGAATCGTTTAGAGTAAAATTTATAAGTACCTGAGTACCATTTATTCTGTTCAAAACAAGTGTAATTATGGATTTTGCATTTAGAGCCAGAAATTACAGATGTTCTGTAATCCAGTCATAGGACTCACCTGTTGGTTTCAAAATACCCATGTGAGGCTCGGCACAGTGGCTCACACCTGTAATCTCAGCACTTCAGGAGGCCGAGGTGGGCACATCGCTTGAGTCCAGCAGTTCAAGACCAGCCTGGGCAACATGGCAAAAACCCATCTCTACAAAAAAATTAGTGGGCATGATGGTGTGCATCTGTAGTCCTAGTTACTTAGGAGACTGAGGTGGGAGAATCACCTGAGCCCCAGAAGCTGGAGGCTGCAGTAAGCTATGATCATGCCATTGCACTCCAGCCTGGGCAACAGAGCAAGACCCTGTCTCAATACAAAACAAAACAAAATCCATGTAGAAAAGTAATTTCATAATTTGCTTGAAAATTGGCAGTTATATTCCTTCCTAAATTTATAATGTTTTAGAAGCACGGGCTAATTAATGGTGTAACCTACTTTGTACATTAAACTTGCCAGTTGAACTAAAAATTAGTGACTCCAGTGCTTTTGCTGTTATATATGTATGCTGACAAATAAATACATATGCTGTTATATTTGAAATGGAGTTTCGCTTTTGTTGCCCAGGCTAGAGTGCAATGGTGCCATCTCTGGCTCACTGCAACCTCCGCTTCCAGCGATTCTCCTGTCTCAGCCTCCCTAGTAGCTGGGATTATAAGCCACCACTTATTATGTGCCACCACTCCTGGCTAAATTTTTTTGTATTTTTAGCAGAGACTTGGTTTCTCCATGTTGGTCAGGCTGGCCTTGAACTGTTGGACTCAAGCGATGTGCCCACCTCGGCCTCCTGAAGTGCTGGGGTTACAGGTGTGAGCTACCATGCTTGGCCTACTGTGTACATTTTTAATGCCCAAAAATATTTTTTCAAGTGAGGTAAAAGGCAAACATCATTAAAAATGCATTTTGCTAAAGGTAAAAATCCTTTTTGATCAACTAAATAATAATGTAATCGAACATGCTACTTTTTATTCTTGCTGCAAGAAGCTTTATTTCCATTTGATCTAGGTCTTGGGAGAGGGCGCCAGTGTGGTTTAAAAGCGGCCTAATTGCTGGAGGGAGAGGCTCAGGCAGAAGGCCTGATTCTTTGATTGGGGGAAGGGGGACCCTTAGCGGTCACTGGACTTTTAGTGTTGTTTGATGATAAGCCTTTGGAAGACACATTTGCCCAGCTCAGTCTGGGAGCCGACTAGCCTATGGGGGTCAGTCAGGTGGTCACCCATCTTAATGAGCTTCACTCCCTCATCTAGGAAGTGGCACTCCAAGAAGTCACAGAGATGGGGATCTGTGCAGGCTGAACCCAGGGCATGAAGATCCAGAAGGGCCTGGTTCCTGGTTCCAGTTCTTCTCCAGGGCCATGGCTGCTTCCATGGTGTCCTGGGTTTTGCCCCACTCATCTTCAGACTTCTGCTCCTTCTAGAAGAGGGCGTGGCCATGGCCACCACTTCTAGGGTTTTTTTTTTTTTTTTTTTTTTTTTTTTTTTTTTTTTTTTTTTTTTTTTTTTTTTTTTTTGGTGAGGGGGACAGGGATTTATAAGTGTGATTGTAAGCACAGCTTGTTTAGATGGCGTTTTTAATAGTTGAAATCAGGGCTAAATGATAGCTTATTGATTGAGCTTAGTACATTATGACACTAATTTTAAAATCTCATCAACCAGTAATGCAGTAAGTTCTTATTCAATTCAGCTAGCAGATTGTATCCTTTCTTGTATCGACCATTTCTTAGAAACTAACGGGGAATGTGTCAATTTTTTATATTTTAGATGAGTTCAAATTAATTTTGAATTTTTTTTTAGACGGAGTCTTGCTCTGTTGCCCAGCCTTGAGTGCAGTGGTATGAACACGGCTTACTGCAACCTCCACCTCCCAAGTTCAAGTGAATCTCCTGCCTCGGCCTCCCAAGTAGCTGGAACTGTAGGCATGCACCAATACACTCAGCTAATTTTTTTTTTTTTTTTTTTTTTTTTTGAGATGGAGTTTTGCTCTTGTTGCCCAAGCTGGAGTACAGTGGTGCAATCTCAGGTCACCACACCCTCTGCCTCCAGGTTCAAGCAATTGTCCTGCCTCACTCAGCCTCCTTAGTAGCTGGGATTACAGGCATGTGCTACTGCAGCTGGCTAATTTTGTATTTTTAGTAGAGATGGTTTTCCATGTTGGTCAGGCTGGTCCCGAACTCCTGACCTCAGGTGATTCGCCCACCTCGGCCTCCCAAAGTGCTGGGATTACAGGCGTTAGCCACCACTTCTTGCCAATTGTTTTTGTTTGTTTGTTTGTTTTTGTTTTTTTAAGTAGAGACAGGGTCAATTGGGTTTCATCCTGTTGGCCAGGCTGGTCTCAAATGCCTGACATCAAATGATCTGCCCTCCTTGGCCTCCCAAAGAGCTGGGATTACGGGCGTGAGCCACCGTACCGGCCCTAATTTTGAATATTTTTAAATTGCTTAGAAAATTCTACTTTCAGGTTTGAAATATGCAGATATGAATGTTTATAGGTGACATCGTTTCTCGTTCAGAAACACTTAATAATGGAAGCGTTTCCAAAGTATTCAAAGTGCTCATTATTTAAAGGAGCTATTTTATTTCCCCTCAAAGCATCAACTTTAGGTTGAAGAGGCAGATTAAGGATGTTTTGTTTATTCAGTGTCAGCTTATCAGCACACTTGTCATTTCACAAAAGTTCAAATATGAGGGGTAGTTTAAAAAGAAAACATCTATAATTCATCTGTAAGTTGTATAACTCTTAAGGTCTTTATGGCGATGTAATCACAGAAGCTCATAAGTGGCACAGTAGATTTTTGTGGTCACTTATTTTTATTACAAAGTATTAAAAATCTCTTAAATAATAAACATTAATAACATTCCCTGGTACTGTTTGCACCAAACTGCAAAGTGTGAGTACCCTGTATGGGTCCTGAGATTCTAACCCTGATGTCTTCTCAAGTTCCAGAGTAATTGTTACCTTGGTTTCAAGACCTTACCATCAAATACTAGCTTTGCCTGCTTTTTAAACTCTTCTATAACAATGGTCTATATAAAGGGGTCAAGCAATCAAATGTTTTTACCATTAAAAGTGGTGCTTCTCTTCAAATTCCACTCCTTAGGAATAACCTCTGCCGGCCGGGTGCAGTGGCTCACACCTGTAATCATAGTACTTTGGAGGCCAAGGCTGGTGGATCATCTGAGGTCAGGAGTTTGAGACCAGCCTGGCCAATATCACGAAATCCCATCTCTGCTAAAAATACAAAAATTAGCAAGGCCCAGCTACTCCAGAAACTGAGGCAGGAGAATTGCTCCAACCCAGAAGGCGGAGTTGCAGTGGGCTGAGATTGCACCCTTGCACTCCAGCCTGGTTGAAAAAGCGAAACTCCATCTCAAAAAAGAGAAGAAAAAGGAAAAAGAACCTCTGCTAATATCTGTGTTTATGTAACCCAAATATAGAGTTGTTTGGTTTGTTGGTTTGTTTGTTCTTTTTTTTTTTATTTACATGATTATGATGCTATTTCTTATTTTTATTGTTGAAGGACAGAATTTTATGGAGTTTTTAAAACTAGCAAAAGTGACATTTTTCAGTATCTATGTTTTGAATGAGGCTTATGAAATGAAAGCATTTACTCCTAGTCTATTGAAGTTCTGACTTAAACACTTTATGTCGGATTTCTTTACTTTTAGATGAGGATGGCAACAACCAGTGGCCTGAAGGTTTGAAGTTCCTTTTTGATTCCGTTAGCTCTCAGAATGTGGGACTGCGGGAAGCTGCCCTTCACATTTTCTGGTATATACATTAAGCTGCTTTTTTGAGACATTTGATTTCATGAATACCCTAAACACCTTTTAATTGATTATTTTAGCCTAATTTAACTTTTTATACTTAAAATGAAAATAATGCAAGTTCTCCACAGCTTGATTGCTTTCTCTTTGTCTTTTATGATTCTGAAAGTTTTATTGAACAGTTTCTTCTCCTTTACTTAGAGATTAACCTAGTACTGAATGTAGCTTTTATGAAACCACTTTAATAATGGTGTCATGAAGAGGAGGAGGAGAATGCAGGTGAATCCCCATTATGTTTTCTGGATCTTCTCTGACCAAGTTTTATAATATCTTATCAAACCTGTATTTTTATAAACAAATGGTCTAAGTTTAGAATTAAGTGATTATTCTTTGCCCCACGGTGTTACTTTTGCTACTGTACTTAGAATGTGGTCAGTATATTAGATTTATACCTTTTCAAGATCATCACCTTTTAGGCATTATATCATTTTCTACTTTAGGTGTCAACTGTATCTTTGTTTATATCAGTAATTCAGATTAGAGAATGCAGATGGTCAGAGAGCATAGTTAACTGTAGTTTTCATTAGAAAACCTGTGGTTGCTTTTGTCCCATCCTGCACTCCAGGTTAGCTTTCGACTGAGACAGAGTAATAAGGGTAAAAGCATGTAGCTGGGAATGGGCTGCTGAGTATCCTCTAACCCAGCCCATACTTCTCCAGTATGTTTTCATTCACTTAACCCAAAAACAAGATTGCTTAGAGAATAGGTAGATGATGTTCAACTTAAGGATTAATGTGTACTGAGTCAGATAAACAAATAGTTCATAGAGATTCTAGCCCATACTTTACTAAGATATTAATATAATGTAGCTTTTAAGGAATGTTTGGATTATCTTTTAGGAACTTTCCTGGAATTTTTGGGAACCAGCAGCAGCACTATTTAGATGTCATCAAACGGATGTTGGTTCAGTGTATGCAAGATCAGGAACACCCATCGGTAAATAATTCCAATCCTATTAATATTACCATCTATTTTAATCTAACTTGTGAAAGAAATTAGTGTGTTAGCAGGTTGTTTTTACTTTTATACTTTAAAATATAAACACCAGTTTTACTGATAAAGAATAACTTGATCTGGAGTAGGAAATCTTGAATTTGCATTTATCAAAAAATTTTTGTGTTTGACATTTTTTCTTCATTTTAGATCAGGACATTATCTGCTAGAGCTACAGCTGCGTTTATACTTGCAAATGAGCATAATGTTGCTCTGTTCAAACATTTTGCAGACTTGCTACCAGGATTTCTACAGGTAGGAAAACAGTATAGAATAAATCATAATTATATCTTACTTGGTTTTCATTAGCATTCTTTAATGCATTCGTTCATTTATACAACAAATGCATATTGCCTATTATGTTCTGGCACTAGGGATACAGGAGTGAACAAAACATGCAAATCTCAGTCTCCATTGAACTTATGTTTACTGCCTGTAAAGACGTTTTTAGCCTCTTACAATATTTATAGTTATAAATTTTTTTGTAATGTAAATGGTGTAAGCAATTATGTACTTATTATTGAATATGTAGATTATTTTCGTTAAATAACCTGTGAGATTTAATGCCCATTTTACATAAGGAGAAACTACTCTTAACTACAGGATGTGTAATAGTTTGTATTATAATGTCAGTTAATGGTTAATTCACATTATTGTTAAGGATGTTAATGTTTTAAGGATACTTTCTGCTTTAATCAGAAAGCAAAATAAGATTAGACAGGATAGAGCATATGTTCAGGGCAACTTGTATCTATGCTCCTGGGAAAAAAAATGTTTTAAATAAAATGTAAAATATTGGACAAGTTAGTGGTTCCCAACCTTGTCAGACTCCCAAATCCCTCTTTTATGACAGTCTTTTGGTAATTTTTCATATACTTTTCTAAAAATGAAATGCATAAATAATATATATGCACAATATTTCAGAATATTAATATATGGCCTTAACTAAATACAAAGAAGAAATTTTAAAAAGGTATAATAAAATGGCATGCTTTTCCTTATGTAAATGGTCAGACAGGACTACACTAAAAGACATAATAGACCAGGTGGTCTCTAAGTGATCTGTACAAATGCAATAGCTAAAACTGGACTGATAACAAAGATGTCATTGGCAAGTCAAACATCACAGTTGCTATTAGAATTGGTGATAAGATTTCCTAAAATAGTAAGGTTCTGGACAAAGCAAAGTGGAAATTGAGTGTCTCTTATTCAGAATGCTTGGGACTAGAAGTATTTCGGATCTCAAAATTTTTTCAGGTTTTGAAACACAGTATTGGTATTATACTGAGCAGTTGGGCATCTCAAGTCAGAAATCCAAAATACTCAAATGCTCATTTCCTTTGAGTGACGTATCTGTATTCAAAAATTGAGGATTTCAGAGCATTTTGGATTTGGGGTGTTCCACCTGTATATATCCATTCAAGGGGGGATAACAATTGTTAAAACCAGACAAAAAATAATATGTGGGTTAGGTTTTAGATTCAGATCATTATAAAGAGTTTTTTCTTTTTATAAGTGTCTGGGATTTGTAAAAATCTGAAATGCATGATGAGAAGATCATGAAAGTCCCTTGTGCTTGTGTCACAGGTGCAGGACATTTAGCATCCATGGCCTTTGCCCATCCTCAACCATGTGACCATCAAGAACTATCTCCTGAGAGAAAACCATTCCTCTTGAGAACCACTGAGTTAGAGAGGATTGAGAGGAGCTAAAATTGAAAATTTCCACATGATAAAAAGTTACTTAAAAGATTTAGTGAAACTTCTCTCTCCATGCTATCACAATGAAAAGATTGTTTTGTGACAGAGCATTAACTATAATATACTATTTCTTTTGTAGTTTATTATCTAAAATCTCTACTTACTGTTGAAATCTAATCCCAGTTTTCTTCCTCTGGATTTAGAGTAAGTTAAATGAAATTGATAACAGTAAACACAAAATGCATACTTTAATACCACAGTGAGCAAACTTAACATCAAAGAGAAATAAAATGGGTAATATTGGACACTTTAAATGTACAGGTTCTGGTACTTACTATGTGTGTGAAAAAAAGTACATGGATAAAGGACAGAAGAGCCAGGTGTGGTGGCTCACATGTATGGTCCTAGCTACTCAGGAGACTGAGGCACGAGAGTTGAAGGGTACTGTGAGCTATGATTGTGCCACCACACTTGAGCCTGCGCAACTGAGCAAGACCTTATCTCTGAAAAAAGAAAAGAACAAAGGAAAGGGACTCCTGGTAGTCTTAAGTTGTAGTGGTTATTATAGTTTCACTGATTTTCATTTTGACTTAGATGTAACTCTGTTTTGTATGTTTCTAGTTAACATCCATCAAAAGGAAGGTATACATGTGCATAATGTAGATTGCTACATTATTTAGTGAAAAATAGTTTAGTAATATTTCTCTATTGTCAGCATCTTAGGAATGTTTGGCTAATGAGGCATATAAAGTGAATCTTCAGCAAAGACTTCCTATTTCATCTTTTCTAGGCTGTAAATGACTCGTGCTACCAGAATGATGATTCTGTCCTAAAATCCCTAGTTGAGATTGCAGATACTGTTCCAAAGTATTTGCGTCCTCACTTGGAAGCGACTCTACAGCTAAGTCTAAAGGTAAATTAAGTCCATCAGTAAGTGTTCTGTTTGTTATTTTCAGGGACTAATCATCTAAACTATCAAATGTATACAATTATGTCTTCCTTGTAGTTGTGTGGAGATACTAGCCTCAACAATATGCAACGCCAGCTTGCCCTTGAAGTGATCGTCACCCTCTCTGAGACTGCAGCTGCTATGTTAAGAAAACATACCAATATTGTTGCACAGACTAGTAAGTCAACGGTCTTCAGATAGTTGATGTGTAATGTGGCCAAATTTTTGGATAAATTTGAGGGTTTTGTAATTTCTCAGATTGTTGCGAATAGACTGAATATCCTTTTAGAATCATACTAATTTGGGGAAATACATCTCAATACATGCAAGCACGGACCACCACATTGTGGTTATGCCTTTAAGACTTTGCAGACACCCTGAAATCTGGTGTTAAAAATTGCATTTCTAGAGTGGACTGTGACAGACTATCATTTATATGTTAAATATTGGACACAGTTAATAGAGTCAAAAATAATTCAGAAGCGATATATAGATAAACAGTAGGGAACTGGGTACTTACCAGTGAAGATAGGATTAGAACGAGATCTAACACTTTGGTCATGGCTCTGTCCACTATATTATGTTGCCGTGTTTTATAGACCCTCGTTGCAGCAGAAACTTAAATGACTGTTGTGCTGTAAAAATAACTACTATAAAGTTTCATTGTGCTGGAATAAGGATCTGAGAACCTTATCCCTGATCATTCTCTGGCCTAGCCATCTCTTCATGAGCTAATGAGTACTTGAACAATTGATTTAGATGGTAAATACATCACCAGATTTATTTTGTAGTGGTACCTACACTGAGCACCACTACAAAATTTGTCTTACACTGAGATACTGGTTGGAATTTTAGAAACACTCCCATTAAAGACTGCCCCGGCTGATGCATTAAGAGATAAAAATAAAAATTAGAAACAATGGCCAGGCACGGTGGCTCATGCCTGTAATCCTTGTACTTTCGGAGGCCAAGACAGGCGGATCACCTGAGGTCAGGAGTTTGAGGTGAGTCTGGCTAACATGATAAAATCCCATTTCCTCTAAAAATACAAAACATTAGCTGGGCGTGGTGACACGTGCCTGTAATCCCAGCTACTCAGGCTGAGGCAGGAGAATTGCTTAAACCTGGGAAGCGGAGGTTGCAGTGAACCAAGATTGTGCCATTGCACTCCAGCTTGAGCAACAAGAGCAAAACTCCATCTCAAAACAAAGAAATTTAGAAACAAAAATACTGCTTATTTGTAGGCTGTGTGATTATTGTCTACAAAAAATTTTAAAGACTCAACAAATAAACTGCTTATCAAAGGGTTAAGCAAGATTCTTAGAGATGAGAACATTTTATTGTAAGTATTCCATTATGCATAGCAATCACTTAGAAAATTTTATAGACATGAGTTGTGGTAACTGGGAATAAATCAAGATGTGTAAGACCTTTATGAAGAAAGTTGAATAACGCACTGAAAGACTAATAGAGACTATTTGAGAACTAATATCAGTTCTCAAATTAATCTGGGGTTAATATAGGGTTAGAATAGAACTGATTCTGAAATTTTTCTGAAAGAACATCAGGCCTGGAGTAGCCAAGACAATTTTAACGAATAAAGTGGTGATCTTACCCCATCAACTGTGAATTTAGAATACACCTAATGGTGCAGGTGTTGACAATGGATCGGATGGTACAAAGGGTAGAGTGTAGGAGCAGATCAACTCATGTGGGAACAAAGCTGTTTTAAAATGATAATTGATCAAAAGTTTTTGGGGCCAGGCATAGTGGCTCAGGCCTGTAACCCCAAGACTTTGTAAAGCCAAGGTGGGCAAATTGCGTGAGCTTAGGAGTTTGAGACCAGCCCGGGCAACATGGCAAAACCCTGTCTCTACCAAAAATACAAAAATTAGTTGGGCATGGTGGCACATGCTTGTGATTTCAGCGACTCAGGAGGCTGAGATGGAGGATTGCTTGAGCCCAAGAACTCAAGGCTGTGGTGAGCCAAGATTGCACCATTGCACTCCAGCCCGGGTGACAGAGCAAAAAGAAGAAAAAAAAAAGCATTGCTAGGATAACTGGTTCTTTCTTTTTCTTTTTTATATGTTTATGGGGAACAGGTGGTATTTGGTTACATGGATAAGTTCTTTAGTGGTGATTTGTGAGATTTTGGTGTACCCATAACAGGAGCAGTGTACACTGTACCCAGTGTGTAGTCTTTTATCCCTCATTTGCCTCCCACCCTTTCCTCTGAGTCCCCAAAGTCTGTTGTATCATTGTTATGCCTTTGCATCTTCATGGCTCAGCTTCCACTTATGAATTGAAAACATAACTGGTTATTTTTATGGGAAAAAGAAAATTGTATCTCTAGACAGCTTATTAAAAAAATAATTTGGGGGTCGACGTCAAGATCTGAATATTATTTTGCGTGCTGGAACTAGTTAAAAAAAGTTAAGACCTAGATACTACAGATTCATAATGCTTAATAGTAGATAATTTTTTAAGACTGAATCACAAACCAATGATGTAAACATTGCCAAATTTGCAACTGCTAAAACAGTTTTTTGACCAGATACACCGTAAATGAAAAGATAAGTCACAAACTGAAAGAAAATAATTACAGTGCACACAATCAACAGTTTTGTTATCTAGAGAATGCACAAAGACTGAGAATAGGAAAGTCATTGCTTTTTTTCCTTTAAGTTGGGGTCTCTAGTCATTCAGGCCAGAGTACAGTGACTTGATCTCAGCTCATTGCGGCTTCCGAAGTAGCTAGGACTAGAAGAATGCACCACCACACCTGGCTACTTTTTGTGTTTTTTGGTAAAGATAGGGTTTGCCATGTTGCCCAGGCTGGTCTTGAATTCCTGGGCTCAAGAAATCCTCCCACCTCAGCCTCCCAAAGTGCCAGGATAACAGGTGTGCCCCAGCAGGCCCAGCCAGGAAATTCATAGAAGAGGATTCTGAAATAGCTAATGAACCCTGCCTAAGTCTCAATAAAAACAAGTGTAATTGTGGAATACAAGTTTTGTCCAAAAGTTTTACAGTATCAATTGTTGATAACAGGTGTGGAGCTAAGAAGACTCTTATTCCGTCCCCAGGGCACGTCACACATTTTTGTGAAATAATATAGACCTCCACTTAAACTTCACATAGTTTATGCAACAGCTGTGCAGAGCACAGCTTGTTTGGTGATTTTTTAGTACTGTTAGAAGATAGTTATAACAATTTCATGCCTAGACTTATGCTTGTTCAAAGAGAAGATGTAATAATCTCATCAAAGCAAATTTTATAGGAGGAAAAAATTGGAAACAACCAAAATGTTTATGAGCTGGTCAGTGGGTAGTATATTTATATAATGGAATGCTATGAAATAAATTGAAATCCGTATGTGTTAAAAAAAAAACAAATTGCCAAGGTACGTATATTATACCATTTATTATACAAAAAATGAAGTCTTGAGGAGGTTCAGCAGGAGAATCACTTGAACCTGGGAGGCAGTGGTTGCAGTGAGCCAAGATAATGCCACTGTACTGCACTCCAGCCTGGGTGACAGCAAGATACTGTCTTTAAAAAAAAATCTTGAAATAGTACTGTAATTTTGTATGGACATACAGAAATCAGTTCAAATGTAGAAAAAAATTGAGGAATGAATTATTTGTTTTGTGATGATGCTTCTTACCTCTGATCAGGGGGGAGAATATAAACGGATTTGGGAATTTGATAGGAGGGTTTGACTTATGAATGTTACTTTTTAAAGAAAAGATATAAGCAAATATGACAAAAGGTTAAAATTCAACCAGATTTTGAGGGCACAGACAAATAATTGTTTTGTCTTGCTCTCTTAGAGGCAGAGTAAATCCTAAAATTCTTGTTTATAAATAGTGATATTGACAAAATGAAGTCACAGTCTTCAGGTATGAAATAATTGTTTACTTTAGTTCCTCAGATGTTAGCAATGATGGTTGATTTGGAAGAAGATGAGGACTGGGCAAATGCGGATGAACTGGAAGATGATGATTTTGACAGGTAATCAAACCTAGTATCCAGGGTGGCAGTGAGAGCCCTAGGGCTCCAAGGCCCGTCTTCACCATTGCACCCTGTAACCTGAAGGTAAACTTTCAAGCCTGGAATATATGGGGCCCTCTGCCTTGCTGTTGTATGCATTGCTGTATTCACATTTTCTAAATAGTATTTTCTTTAGTTTTCATGTATAATTTATATTAATAAAATTTATGTTTCTTGGAAGTTCATAAAACGTACTTTAACAAGTGTGTAATCAGGAATGGAAAGATAACTACAACAACAAACAAGGAGGCTTGTCTTTTAAAAAAAAATTTGACATGAAATACAGCAAATAAAGTAGCTATGTTTTTAACTGTCTTACCCTAAATTATTTTCAAAACTTGTAATTTCTCTTTTAAAATATGTATAAAGAAGCTTTATTGTGATAAATCTTTGAAATGCAGAGACTTCACTTAGAATAATTGTTTCAACAAAATTCCCTGCAATATACATCATATTTTCCCAGTAAAAAGCAAGTTAACTTTAGGATAGAAAAGATCCAGTGGTGACAAGATCAGAGTCACGCTGGGTGACAGTAACACTGGAATTACTATTGCACTTATTTCAGCTTAGGAAGTCCCATGAATACAGAAAAAGTCAACCAAAATCTATATTCACTATGAAGTGGTAATGATGGCCCCTTACATGTATATGAAACATAGCACCTCAGAGCTATGTTATTTTAATCAACTTTATTAGTAGTCCCAGAGATATATTACAGATGCAGAAATGGAGAGATACAGAAATGGAGACTGAAGATTAAGTGATTTGTCTGAGGTTATGTAGCCAGTTAATGGACTGGGGTTAATTACCATTTCTTTCATTCTTCCCAATGCATTATACTACCACCTTTTCTTAAAAAGAGCTGAAATTGGCCAGGCATGGTGGCTGATGCCTGTAATCCCAGCACTTTGGGAGGCCAAGGCAGGTGGATCACATGAGGTCAGGAGTTCGAGACCAGCCTGACCAACATGGTGAGACCCTGTCTCTACTAAAAATACAAAAATTAGCCTGGTGAGGTGGCAAACACCTGTAATTCCAGCTACTCAGGAGGCTGAGTCAGGAGAATCGCTTAAGCCTGGGAGGTGGAGGTTGCAGTGAGCTAGTTGAGATTGCGCCATTGCACTCCAGCCTGGGTGATGAGTGAGACTCCATGTCAAAAAAAAGAGCTGAAATTATTCCCTCAAAAGGGAGTCAGTATAAACTACATTTTTGAGACTTAATCCCCTTGTTAAAAATGACTGATTTCTGTCTTTAATACTGTTTTATGAAAGTAGTCTTTCACTGGAAATCACCTGATATAGCTGAAGAGAAGACCAGGGCTAGGTCAGATTTCCTTTCTGGGTCTGTTACTGAAATGTGCTGCTACCTGTCCTTTAATTTGCCCTATAAATGGCACTTGAAGTTATTCAGTTTAAGAAACAATGTTTTCTAGACTAGATGAATAAGATTTTCTAATCTGTGAGTAAACAGGGCATAAATATATTTTCAAGATGAGATTTTTTAAGTCTAAAAACCTGTTCTGAAGGTAATTTATAGCTTCATTTTTATATTATCTGTTTACACAGTAAAGATAATGCACATGAAATTCACTACTGATCTTGTAGTTCCAAGCCAGCATAAGTGCAAATGCATTTATGCCCCCATCTCTTCAGTTTTCAGAGAAAACAATAGAATTGAGTTTCATATAACCATGCATAGTTTTTGGCAGTGCAGTTTGTACCCCTTTAAAGGTGAATAAGCTCACAGGGAAAATTGCACATTTTGTGCACCTTTTCAGTTTTCTGTGTTCTGCTCATTGATAAGTTTGAAGACTGTATTTCTAGGAAATGAAATACACAAGGCTCTTTCAACACTGCTTTTATGGGAGTCTTGAAAATGTCAGAGCTGTTTCTGAAAACAGTTTTGAGCTAGTTGGGGGTAGGGGTGGTCTTGAAAAATTTTCAAGATAACATGACTTTCTAAACTATGGTGGATCGTGATATTTACTTTTGTTTTAAGCGGTAGGGTTTTTAACCCCTAATTTCAATTCCATATTTAAAGACAGCTTGAATTCTTTCTCAGTCCTAGTTTAATAATAATGTGTTTGAAGTATGTCTGTACAGTATACTGTTTCTTTTGTATTTCAGATATATTGAATACATAATTTCTTTCTGTGTTTAGCAATGCAGTTGCCGGTGAGAGTGCTCTAGACCGAATGGCTTGTGGACTTGGTGGAAAGCTTGTTCTGCCGATGATCAAGGAACACATTATGCAAATGCTCCAAAATCGTAAGCTATGTTCTTCAAATGCTACAATAGTGAAGTAGTGCCTTTCTGAATCTTAAATTCTAACATAGGTTTAGACTGTTAAAACTTAATCTTTGTGTTTTTATCATCCATATTTAACTCCATTTATTTTACTGATAAAATTGTCAATCCCAAAGAAAATGTACAGATTTACTTCCTAGCCAAAACTATTTAGGTTTGAATTTGAAAATGACATTATTATTTGAATGTGTTCATGATTCGAACATGCTAATCTTCCTTCACCCAGTATCTTTTATTTTTAAAAGAATAATTCTAATGTTATCAGAAGAGAAACCACTTTGTTTTGTTTTGGTTTTTGGTTTTTTTTTTTTTTGAAACGGAGTCTCACTCCGTTGCCCAAGCTGGAGTGCAGTGGCACCATCTCAGCTCATTGCAGTCTCCACCCCCTGGGTTCAAGAGATTCTCCTGCCAGATTCATACATTCCTCCTGTGTTGCTGGGATTACAGGCATGTGCCACCACACCCGACTAATTTTTATATTTTTTGTAGAGACAGGGTTTCACCATGTTGGCCAGGCTGATCTCGAACTCCTGACCTCAGGTCATCCACCCACCTCAGCTTCCCAAAGTGCCGGGATTATAGGCATGAGCCATTGCACCTGGCCTAATTTTTTTATTTTTAGTAGAGACAGGGTTTCGCTATGTTGGCCAGGCTGGTCTCAAACCTCTGACCTCAAGTGATCTGCCTGCGTCAGCCTCCCAAAGTGCTGTGATTACAGACGTGAGCCACTGAACCCGGCCAAGTTGCAAGTTTTTAAATTCATATTCACAGATAACCACTGTTAACAGCTCTCTGAGACTTTCTCTGACCTCATTTATGCATATATGGAGGGGCTTTTTAAAGTGAATATACAATATGGACACACCATATTTTTTAAGCTTTTGCTCAATAGTTTATCATATTACCACATTAACAGTCCACCTCATTTTTTAAAATAGCCACATACATTCCACAATCCCCATTCTGTGCTAATTGTTTTTATTGATTTACAAATAATACTAATGCAAACACTCTTCTACAGAAATTCTGGCTTATGTGAATTTTTTATAGGGTAGATTTAAAAAGCAGACATGAGGGTCAAACCATTGATATAGGATCTTTGTTTTTGTTTTTGTGTTTTTGAGATGGAGTCTTGTAGAGCTGAAGTGCAGTGGCATGATCTCAGCTCACTTTAACCCCCCACCTCCTAGGTTCAAGCGATTTGTGTCTCAGCCTGCTGAGTAGCTGGGACTACAGGCACATGCAACCATGACTGGCTAAATTTTTTTTTTTTTTTTTGAGACGGAGTTTCGCTCTGTTGCCCAGGCGAGTTCAGTGGTGCAATCTTGGCTCACTGCAACTTCTGCCTCAGCCTCCCAAGTAGCTCCTAAGCCTGCCACCACACCAGCTAATTTTTGTATTATTTAGTAGAGACAGGGTTTTGCCATGTTGGCCAGGCTGGTCTTGAACTTCTGACTTTAAGTGATCCGTTCTCCTTGGGCTCCCAAAATGCTGGAATTACAGGCATGAGCCACTGTGCCTGGCCTGATACATACTTTTAGAATCATGTAGTGTAGTCAAGCACTTTTTCTGTGCTTTTTTTTTTTTTTTTTTTTTTTTTTTTTTTTTTTTTTTTTTTTTTTTTTTTTTTTTTTTTTTTTTTTTTTTTTTTTTTTTNGAGACAGAGTCTTGCTCTGTTGCCCAGGCTGGAGTGCAGTGATGCGATCTTAGCTCACTGCAACCTCTGCTGCCTGGGTTAAAACAATTCTCCTGCCTCAGCCTCCCGAGTAGCTGGGGTTACAGGCACCCGCCAACACACTCAGCTAATTTTTGTATTTCTACTAGAAATAGGGTTTCACCATCTTGGACAGGCTGCTCTTGAACTCCTGACCTCATGATCCACCCCTCTCAGCCTTCCAAAAGTGTTGGGATTACAGGCATGAGCCACCGCGCCTGGCTCTGTACATTTTTCTAATAGTAAATATACAAATGTTATAATATTTTATGCATATATATATGCCCTTTCCAAAAAAATTTTTGTTCCTTTTTTCCTAATAAGAACTTTTTTACAGCACTCCCTACCAGAATGACGTTTATAGTGTCTAATTGCTATTCCATCTGTAATTTTTTTCTGTAGCTGACTGGAAATACCGGCATGCTGGATTGATGGCCTTATCTGCCATTGGTGAAGGATGCCACCAGCAAATGGAAGGAATTCTAAATGAGATAGTAAATTTTGTTTTACTTTTTCTTCAGGATCCTGTAAGTACCAGTAAATATTTGATTCCAAATTATTAGTGTAGCTTCATGTGGAAACCTTATTGCTTTTACTAATGAAAGGGAACATCTTCCAGCATCCAAGAGTAAGGTATGCAGCCTGTAATGCTGTGGGACAGATGGCTACAGATTTTGCACCTGGTTTCCAAAAGAAATTTCATGAGAAGGTAAGTAACAAGTCCTCAAACACTCAAATCAGACTTTAGGAAGAGGGTGGACATTTCAGCATGCATGCTTATTTTGTTTCATTTCACAGGTGATTGCAGCTCTGCTGCAGACCATGGAAGACCAAGGCAATCAACGGGTGCAGGCCCATGCAGCTGCTGCCCTCATTAACTTTACTGAAGACTGTCCCAAGTCACTGCTTATTCCATACTTAGATAATTTGGTGAAACATCTGCATTCCATTATGGTACTTAAGCTTCAGGAGGTAAGTGTTAAGATCTGTAGGCTACCTTCTGTTTGTAAATTAATTTGGGTTGATTTGATGGGTGAGAACTGGAGAAAGAAGGACTTGCAGCATAACCATAAAGAATATAAAGTTAAAAAACTGAGGAGGGTATTCTGAGTTATGGAATGGTAAGTGGAAAAATTCAGATTTGACCAAAATTTGGGCTGGTAATTGGAATTGGGAACGATAACAGGTAAAGCTCAGGTAAAATCAGTGTATGGATCGCCCTGAAGATAAGAGAGAAGTTTTTGAACTCTGATTTGTGTGAAGTGTGAAAAACCATTCTGTATTCTTAAATGCAGTGGGAAATGATTATATGATGGGAGATTCATGTAGTAGCATTGTGGTGAGGCATACATAAAAAAAGGGAGAAGGTTTAAGGCAAAACCATCATACTGTTGTCGTCCGGGGAGCTTATATGGTAATAGTGGAAGAGGAGGCTCCAAAAGACATTTCATGGGAAGTATTAAGAGTTTGTTTCTGGCAGTTTTAATTTTAAAAGTTGAAAGGGCCAAGCGCCGTGGCTCACACCTATAATCCCAGCACTTTGGGAGGCTGAGGCAGGCAGATCCCCTGAGGTCAGGAGTTCAAGACCAGCCTGGCCAACATGGTGAAACTCCGTCTCTCCTAAAAATACAAAATTAGCATGGCATGGTGGTGCACACCTGTAATTTCAGCTACTTGGGAGGCTGAGACAGGAGAATGCCTTAAACCTGGGAGGCAGAGGTTGCAGTGAGCCGAGATGGCACCACTGCACTCCAGCCTAGGTAACAAGAGCAAAATTCTGTTTCCAAAAAAAAGAAAGTAAAAAATGTTTACTATTCTAACCAGGTTGATAGAAATACAGAAGTTGTAGAAAATAAAAACAACATCATTTTTGAATATCCAAGTAAAAATGATTATAGTTAACAGCTTAAGTAAGGAGTGCAGCCTTGAAACATTTGAATGATACTAGTCCAGCACAGCGCGAGAGAGGTGTAGATGTGAAAGCAAGGATTTTAGCCCAGTTTATTGTCAAATGCAATGAAAATGGATTACTACTATAAAAGTGAAATGAATAGAAGGCATAGAAAATAAAAGATGTAAACCTCTCAAAATGCTATAAAAGTTTCTAATGCTCTGAATTCCTATAAATATGAACTGGTAGCAAATAGTTAACAAACCACAGTTTGTGTAGCACTGGTGATTGTCCGGAGAGCAAGACAAACAAGAAATGCAATATCTCAGAAGCCAAAGAGAAAGGACTTATAAACAAAGGCTCAAGTGCTCAGTATCACATGACAGCAGACTAGGAATATGATAAAGGAAACATGTGCCTGAAGGCAGACCAAGATGGACCCAAGTTGAAGGCAGATAGGTTGGTGGTTAAATCAGTAATTGATGGATCCAAAGTGACTTTACAGGCTTGGGTGGATGGCTATGGTATGAAAGTCCCTGTGTACCCCTGCCCTTCCTGCAGTGGGGCACTATGTGAGCTTTTAAAGATAAGTGGAAGGAGTGGTTGGGATGGAATGGTGGGAGGACAGTGTTCATGAGCAAGAGTTATACAAACAGAAGATAGCCTAGTGGGGGAGGAAAGACATTGCTCTGAGGCCAGCAGCACAGCCCAGACACTAAATATGGAGCAGAGGTTGAGATGCAAAAGCAGGATGTAAGATCACTTCCTCAAGACATGGTTGAGTGTGCAACACAAGGTGAAGAACTCTGCTGAGAGTGTGGTTGTAGTTGATGTGGGGAATTATGAAAATAGAGTAGTAACTGGCTCAGGTTCTTATGAGTCAAGAATTATTTTATTTTGCATATATATACACAGAGAGAGAGACAGAGTCTCACCCAGGCCGTAATGCAGTGGCACAGTCTCAGCTCACTGCAACCTCTGCCTCCCGAGTTAAAGCCATTCTCCTGCCTCAGCCTCCTGAGTAGCTAGGATTACAAGCGTGTGCCACCACACCCAGCTAATTTTTGTATTTTGAGTAGAGACAGGGTTTCACCATGTTGGCCAGGCTGTTCTTGTACTCCTGACCTCAAGCGAGGCACCTGCCTCAGCCTCCCAAAGTGCTGGGATTACAGACGTGAACCATCACGCCCAGCCTGTTTTTGAGATAGTCTCACTCTTGTTACTGCAGCTGGAGGGCAATGGCACAATCTTGGCTCATTGCAACCTCTGCCTACCCGGTTCAAGCAGTTCTCCTGCCTCGGCCTCCTGAGTGTCACCACACCCAGCTAATTTATAAATATATATATATATGGGGTTTTTTTTTGTTGTTTGTTTTTTTTTTTTTTTTTTTTTTTTTTTTTTTTTTTTTTTTTTTTTTTTTTTTTTTT